AAAAAAAAAATCAAATTCCATTGTTAGAATATATATAATAGTTTGATAGTAACAGCTAATCAATCATTCATTTTATACTATTATTAAAAATATATAAATAATATATTTTTAAATTTTGTATTAGTGTATTTTAGAGTTATATTTTGTTTTAATGTTTCAAGTAATAAATTAATGAAGTATATTTCATAGAGCTTTAGTTTTTAATAATTAAATTTAGTCTAATTAAGTCACTTAATTATACATATAACACTTAAACCATAAAATAATCTAACATTTAACTAACATTTTGGAGGGTGCAATTGGATTTTCTTCTTACCCCAAACAATTATACAGAATGTCTGACTAGGTTAGACATATTTTATTATTTTTGATCAAATAATAATTTTCTTTGAAATAATAACTTAATATGTACTTGTCCTAAAATTATCATCGACCCACAATATTTTTTTGTAAGAATGGCTATTTTAAAATTTTGAAGAAAATAAAATTTCAACAAAATTATCGTTGTATTATAAGTTATAAGTCATATCAAAACATACGTAAATTAAAAAAATGTTGGGGGTAATTTTGTCAATTGAGGGGCTTAGCACCTTCTTGTTTCCTAGTTGCGTTTATGACAAGACACCCTAAAGGAGTTCCTCGGAAACCCTTCTACACCAAGTCTATTAAGCGAATAGCAAAACCACGTTACTTTAAACATATTTTTCATTTTTGTTTTGAAAATAACATACGAATTCTTATGAAATTATCATAGTAATATTTATTATTATATATTCTTTTTTAAAGTTCCAATGGTGTTTATAAAAAATATTTCGTCATTTTATAATAATGTAATTACTTTTTAATATAAAAATGATTTATTTTGTATAAAATTGTGACACAGTATAAAGGTGTTTAATGCTAAATTTCGATGTAAAAACGCAACACCGTTATATTCTGACTGATGGAGTCTATTCATTTCGTTTAAAGTTATAATAATATTATAATTTATAACACACAAATGAGACGGGTAAACCGTAAGGTGCGCGTATAACTCGACGACACGTACGGCGGATGTAAGTCACAGATGAACTCGTTTACATAGTCGCCGACGTGTCTCGCGGTGCTGAACTCCCTGCCCTGTCCTATCTACCGACCGCCGGATAAGACAAACTTGTGTTATCGTCAACGCTAATGAGTGCGACGGTGGACAGCTGATAATCACGACCGGATAACGTGCTAATTCACGGTAAATGAATAGTGCGCTATTACGGGCCGTGTCAATTGTTATCAAAAAATTAATTTATAATTTTGGTATTTANATTTATTTTGTATAAAATTGTTATCAAAAAATTAATTTATAATTTTGGTATTTATAGATCCTTTTGTGTTGCTCAAAAGAATTCCGCAAGAAATTATAGACTCCTATGTGTTTAATAAAACAATTAATACAATCGAACTAGAAAAATTAGTAAATAACGTAGAACTATCTAACAATGTTGATGGCATAAATAATTTTGATACACCAAATTATAATCCAACAAAAAATATAAAGTTATCTACGAATAGCTCTACAAAGAAAGTTTCTAAGAAAAAACGATCAAAAAGATCCAGATTCAATTGATGAACATTTAATTTTGATAAATTATGACCAACCAATTTACCTTATAACTTACATTTTTTGCCGCAGAGACTATAGATTTAATTTAAACAAATTTTTATTCAACTATACTCTGCGGATGACTTATAATTGTTGAAAAATCAACAGTGTTGTATTATAAACAACTTTAAAGTTGGTAATAATTTTTGTGAACTTTCGTTCAAGAATTTTCAATTTAATGAATAGTTTCGTTTCTATCATTCATTTTGTACATTATTTTTTCTATTATACTTTTTATGTTGTTCTAATCATAAAAATTGTTTTTTTGAATTTTTTTTTATTTAAGATCTAATGAATATTTTTGTCATTGGATGTTCAATGATTACACGGTGCATATATTTTTTTTATTTAAAGATTTTTTGTGCTATAAATATTTTTAATTGTTCTTTTTCAATTATGTAATTCAATTTAATTTTTTAATATATTTTTGTACTTATTTGAAATTTGTAATTATTTAAATAAATAGCGATAAGATAACATTTTGCTAAAATATATTTAATAAGAACAAATATGTTTTTATTTTTATATTATACAAATATTATTTTGTTTATTGTATTATACTACATTATAATTAATGTAGAAAAGAAATCTAAAAAGTAATAAAAAATTAAATATATATATAGATATATTATTTAATTTAAAGATATTTATTATAAAGTAATAATTAATACTTAATGAAATTTGGTAACAAAATGAAAAAAAAATGGGCGTATTTATTTTTACGTAGTTTTTTGCGATTATATCCTAAAGTATTTACGATAGGAAAATATATCTTATTATAAAATATTTTTTTAATTAAATTTTCAATAATATTTGGCTTTAGTACTTTTTCCATAAAACGGCTCATTTGATCACAAAATAACAAAAATTCATTTATATATTTTTTTATTATAGTATCATACGTTTATATTGACAAACTAATAGATTATGTTTGTTTTTGTTGATTTCTACAAGGTATAAATACTATCGAAATAGTATGGTCAGATTGGACATTACCTACTTAAAAATACCTATTATTATTAACTGTGTTGATTACATGCGATATCATAAACTACAGCATTTTAGTTTATATCTTTACATCAATAATAAACGTTAACGTTTAACATTGAGGTTTCATCGAGATAATCTGTATTCTGTGTATTTTATGATTTTTTAAACTCAATTATTACTTTTTTATTTAATGGAGACTAAAATAAATTTACGAAAAAGTATCTATTTAATTGGTAATAGTTTACATCACCTCGTTGGTTGTAAATTACCATCAAATAAATAAATTCTATCGGTATTGTTTTTTAATATTCGAGAAGTTAATTTGAGTGTTCGTGATATTGCGCGTTTAGTGATCGATGAAACATTGATATTCTGGCAAAAAGCTCGAATACCTACTAAAGAAGTTCGTAATTGTTTACCAAAATTAGAGGAATTGTACAATACATGGCGTAATTTGCAAAAAAATTCAAGTCGGCGTACAAATACTCAGATAGATAAAGAAAATAAATGTGTACAATGTTCTGATGAGCTATTTGATATTGCTCATGCAGATGCATTAGACATGATGACTATTGATATAGACAAGCAGTTTTTAATAAGTCAAAAACAAAAAGGTCGTCCAGGATCACTTATTGGCGTTGATGTAACTTACCAAAAAAAAGAATTTAAGCAATTTAAAAAATTAAAAGAATTTGAGAAAAAAAGAAAACTTAATGAAGATGAATTCAAATTAACTAGTAAGTATTTTGAGTTATAAATAAACAATGAATAGTATAGTATTGTTCAGTCATATGCAATTTTTATTTAAATTTTAGCTAAAACTGTGGAATTCTGTTCTACAAGGGACGACACAGAAGAAAGTTTGCCTGATGATTGTGAGTTATATTAAAATATTACGATCTATAAATTATCTACAACGATTTATACATCATTATATTCATTAATTTATATTGTTTTATAGTTGTAAACAATGATGACTTCAGTAATTTGTTTGATGGCAATGTTAAAATAACTAAAGAGCAAATATTAAATTTAGAAGATATTAATTTTTCACCGTGTCCGTCTAATAAAACTAATGTTTTGCCAATATCAAGCTCCATAAAACAAAGAGGTACAATAGACATAATGACTGTAAAGTTATCTTCAGCATTATATAGGTGCAAAATAAGCGACCGAGACGCAGTGCACATTATAATTGCAGTGGCTGAATCATTAGGGCATGATGTCAATGATATCATAGTTAATAGGTCATCAATTAAACGACATCGTGAAAAAATATGTTGGAATTTAGCTACAGAAATTCGCGACAAATTTTCTGTGACTAATCTCAATGCCTTAGTTTTACATTGGGACGGCAAATTATTACCTGATTTATGTAGTAAACAAATAGTCGATAGACTACTTATAATTATTTCAAATAATGGAAATGACCAACTATTAGCAGTACCAAAGATGTTAAACGGTACTTCTAAATCACAGGCTGAGGCTATATATCAAACGTTGGTCGATTGGGGTTTAACAAACCACGTAAAAGCTATGTGTTTGAATATTACAGCCACTAACACAGGTAAATAAAACAATTGTTTATTATTATCTATTTTATTCAGTCAAAGTTAAAAGAAAATTATTATTTTTGTGTAAAAAATCACCGTTTTTCGTGTTGTTACTTTTCTTAAAACTATATTAACTGTTATTTATAATTTTGTATCCTTCAAAATTTAATTTAAAATATAAATAGTAATATTAATTATCGTTAATTTATAATTATTTAAAAGATTAAAAAGATCAACGAATCTTTTTACAATTATTTTTGAACGAAAATTATAATTTAAGTTTAAGTTTAACTTATACTTATAAATTAAAAAATTCATAACTGTTTTTTTTTTCAAGCTAACTTTCCAGTCCTCGGCAAGTGACGTAGACGCGCACTGTATATACCAATCGAGAAAAATTGTGAAACGGTACTAGGGACTCAGGAGGAAGGCAATGAAGGTGGACAATTTGATTTCCGAGACTCGGTAATTTACAAAAAAAAAAAAAGTTGAAAAAATAGTATCAGGAATTCAATTTTGTTAAACTTTTAACTTTTTCGAGGTAAATATTTGACTTATGACTTTTTCAGTAATAACTTTTTTATGTAAAATATTCATATCTACAATTTTTTTCTTATTAACTTTTATGTAAAAGTCATAAATTTTGAGATAAACTACAATTATTGAAAAACTACCCTCATAGTTGAATTTTTAACCCTCTTGAAGCACGGCTTAGGGTTGACCAAAATTAATGAAATTTGACACAAATTATTTATTTATAGTTTTGAACAAATTCTGGGGGTAGCCCGATCAAATTTTGAAAAAAAAAATTCCGCATCTATACATAAAGAACCACCCTAATTTTTATGCTTAAAGCGTCAACAACGGCATTATTTATAAATTGATTCTGTTAATTATTATAGATTTTAGAATTATTACAGAATTTATATGATTATTACAGTTTATTGACATAAAATATTTCTTAGAACAGTTTAGAATTACACATAAATAATCTTTATTTTATTTCATGATTAATAGCTATAATATTATAATCAATTTATTTCATAAGTGGGATCTTCAACTTCTTCCTTGCGTTCGTCTATAAATTATCAAGAATAAAAAATATTTGTTGTACTTATTTAAAATACAATTAGTAAATATAAAATGGGTAGTGAAGTGAAGGATTATTATTTTTAACTTGGATCCCTTATAGAGTGTCTTATAATATTTTCCATTAAATTAAAAAATTGCCAGTAAAATATTTTATACATTATATTATATAAAATATTTTATTATAAAAATCATTATATTTAACGACTGGTACTGGCGATTTTATACTATTAGAATGAACATAATTAATTTTAATTATGTTAAATATTTTTGTTTTTATTTATGCTATTAGCCTTTTAGATTGTTTGCAGTGGCAGCTCGTGGATGCTGGCGGTGGGGATGCGACTTTAAATATGATACCCTATTCATAGGTATAAAATACTTTCAAATTAAATGTAATACAGTAAAATACAATACATATATTATTATTTTAAACGTCGCAGTAGAAAATAGAAACGAAAATAATAATAATAGCAATTATACTATTATAGCAACCTATAGCGACAATTAATTATAAAAATAAATTACCCAATATAGTAATATACTAATATTTTATTGTACGGACGACCCTGTTGGTAGTCCAAACACTGCTCGCGTGTGTATTTTTACTCGCTTATACTAAGGAAAATAACTTTAATGTTCGCACACGACAAATGTATAATAACTATTTTAATATTTAAAAATTTCTATTTTTAATAAAAATGTAGAATTAAGAATTTACAATTAATTTTCTTCTTTTAATTATTTTTAGTAGGGGGTGCGATCGTCCCGTCGCCCAACCCAAAGACGCCACTGATTGTTTGATATTCATTTTTACATATTGGATGAATTTTACAATCAAACAGATTTATACTTGGCAATAGTGACAATCAACTGTTTTATACAGTTTTATTTGTTCTATGAGTTGACTAATACTGGTATTAAATAAAGTCTTTATTTTTTTATATTATTATTTTTGTTGAAACGATCATAATAAAGTAACAATAACCAAAACACGAGAAGAATAACATTATTATTGGTGAAATGTGTTTAATCATTCTCTTTACTGTTTAATTAATCGCCGAACAGTTATAATTAGGATATATATATATATAATAAGTACAACGTGTTTATGCATATCAAAAACAATAGTCAAATGATTTGTATTTTACGCAATTTTCTCGGCACGAATATCTTAAAATAAAAGACTAAATTTAGTAATCTGAAAATTGGCCGAATGCACACGGTGTAAGATTTTGTACTTGAACACTGCGTGCCCGACAGTGAATTGTGCAATTTGTGTCCAAAATAAAAATATGTTAAAAAAATAATAATAATTGAAATACAATGTCAACTATGAATTAACATATTTTACATGTGTTGGAACACATTACGGACAATTTATAAATTATCTGAAGGCCTGTTTCGTCTAGGTTGTCTAAACTATTATAAAGTATAATACTAGATATAGATTATTATATTCTATAACCAAAAAATAGATACTATTAGCTACTTAAAATCTGGGTTGAAAGTGAATGTTTAATCATTGGAAATATCGTTTAAACTTATACAAATAATTTACCCATCTCGATATTAATTTTAAAATTTCATAACAGGTTTTAAATTTTATATTTGACATCATGGTCTTCAAAATAAATTTATCTAAAATTTTGTATTATTATGAAACTTTTCAAATAAAAATTATTTTTTAATAATTTTAAAAATTAACGTTAATTATTAAGGTTTTATTGGACATTGATGTTGATCTGGGTGTAATTTCAGCACGGTTTGCTTCTGACAAGTTAAATCCTTGCAAAAAAAAGCACGTACGATTACAACTGATCTAAAGTTAGCAAACATTATAACAGAAATAATAATTCATACGAGTTGTTTGTGGCAACCTAAGGACCATTAATAAATGACACTTGGATCAAGGATGGGAAGAATACATTAGCTTTTTAGAATGAACATGTGATCGAGTTTTTGCATCACGATTTTAAATGAACTTCAAATAAGTAAACATTGTTAAACAGTCGCTCTGATTACTCAGAACAAATATTTCGTGCTGTTTGTGAATACTATTATTATCAATTTTAAAAATTCATTTTTAAAGTGTTATATGTTACATATAAATTGTAATATTTGCAAGTCATGTTTAATTATAATAATTTTATTATAATTAATAGTTATATCAAAATATAAAGTAATATATAAAAATGTATTTTTAAAATAATATAAATACCATAATAATTACCATTATTGCGGTAATGTAAATGCAACAAATTACTTAATATTATTATATATAATAATTATAAAAATTGTGAAAAATGTTTGTGTTTAATAAAAAAAGCTTATAAATTTAAATAGTTAATCTTATATAAATAGTATTTTTTTTTATTTTCTTATTTTGTTTGTTAAAATTTAGATTTTAATAATTTCACCCCTATGATAGTTTTTAATCCATAATGAAACATATATTTTTTTAGATTAAAATGCTGTAAGAAAGGTTTCTAACAATTCAAATTTTGTATCTATTAAAACGATTTAAATTGTATTTTAATAAGAATAAACAGGGTCAAATTTTAGGTATTAAGTTCGCACTACTCCTATAGAACACTACACCTAAAAATAATAACTATTAAGTACTTGAGACCATTAAGACCTATAAGAATAAAACGATGAACTTTTTAAATAATAAACATAATATAAATAAAATATTTTTTTTTTAATTTTAAGATAATAATTATTATGAGCAGAGTCCTACATTTTATAGTATCTTACAAATTATATATATTAAAAGCGCTATTCATTTATTAACGATTTCAAATAAAGATAAAAGTACAGTTGCATTTATAAAGAAGTATTCTGTGCAGCATGAACAATGTCGCTACAAAATAATTACAGTGGTGTTATTAGGGTTTCATCTTGAGGGGGATATATAGATTAAAATTTTCCTTACTCTCTCCAAACAAAAAAAAATGTATATTGGCCATAAAATTATTTGTGTCAATGGTGGGAGCATGTGACACCCATACCCCCCTCCATGATTAAGCTAGTGGATAATTACTGCACAGAATGCATTATAATCAGTTAAAGAGAAAATATGAGGCCATTTTATATTACTTCAATTTCAATTTAACGCTATCCAATTCACGCTCTACATACTTCCTTGGATGTATTTACGTCTCTATTAAAATGAAAAAAGACAAAATTAATGAAACTGAACAAAATTACTATAAAAATGATTGTAATAAAATATTATTTTAAAAAATATTATATTGTCAAGCCTCTTCATTAACATTTAGATAAATGAATTTATTCATTTATTTGTTTAATTATAATAAAACAAATAATTGTTTTTGTTGTCGTGCTTCTTAAAATACTCATTATTTTCTTCAAAACTAGTTGAAGATATATTTTTTTCTTGTCATGCTGTAATTATAATTTCCTTTTAGATCTATAAAAACATGTAGGACAAGATGATTTTTATCTATATAAATCTTAACTGAATTTTTTTTAATTTTTCATGTTGAAAAATACGAATGAAATATCCTAGTACAGTGAGGACATAACGTAATTGAGATAAGTATAAAAGATATTTGACAGTGATTATAATCACTATAATAAGAAACGCTTAGCTGCAAATCTGTAGTTGCGTTTAATTTTAAGAAATTGGTGGATTATTCTAAAATAAAAATGAATTCCTATATCCTTACTTGTATCCTGATTTCTAATTACTAATATATAATTATAGTACATGAATAAATACACAAATAAATACAATAAATCACAATACATATAGAAATTAAATTTAGTAAGAAATTGTATATTTTGTATTGTAATTTTAATGAAGAAATTATACAATGTTTTTAAATAGTTATATATTTCGTTACCTTTATGACAATTGTGAATTAAAAATATAAGTCTGGATTTATAAAAAGAAAAAAGAGAGAGGATGTTAACTCTAGTAACTCAATTATTCTGTCCTTCGTTAGTTTATTATTATTTCAGACATGAAACCTTAAATTAAATTTATCATAAACCATTGGTATATGAACCTTTTTTTTTTTTAGAAAAAGTAAACTCTTCCTTTTAATATATTCATTGGATAGATATTAAAAACTTCAAAATATTTAAAAATAAACCTTTAATTTTTTTTTACATTTATTTTTGTAAAGGAGGGTATAAATTTGTTTTTACCATCCATACCATATCAAAAATATAAATAAAAGAAAAAAAAAGAAAAAGTTATAACACTTAAAACTGTTACTTTTTAAACCAAAATGACATATTTTTTTTAAATTTAGAGGACGTTTACATATAGAAAAATAATCATTGGACGAATTTTTTTTTAACTAATAGTACATAATATACTCTAAAATTTGACATATGTTTAAAACTTAGAGTATTTCCGAATTATTTTTAAAAGTTATGTCAAAAAGGTTAACTTTTCATGTAAAAATAGCAATTTTGATTTCTCCCAAAAAGCAGATTGTTAAACAATATATATTTAAAGTAAAGTAATTACCTATGATATTTATGAAGAAGAAAAATTTTTAATTCATTTATTTTTCATTATGTTATGAAAGTTTTAAAAGTAAAAAAAAAATTAAATGTCGAATTTTACATATTTAAAAAATAGTAATTTTTTGGTGGATTTAGGATGAACGAGGAAATTTTTTTTAATTTCCGACAGTAATAATTTTAACTAGATACGACTTGTGATCTTTTGACGTATCATAGGCAATATTATGTCTTGTGAGATCTAAGAAAGAGTAGTGACAGACACAATATATATATATTATAATATATATATATCTTGGTAAATTAATACCTTTACAGCTTTGTATCGAAGCTAAATGATGTAGAACTCTAATTGAAAAAATAACTTGATGGAATCTGGTTGATTTCTTTAAAATACATCATTATTTTAATGAAAACGAATAGTTTTTAAGTACTATTATTAAAATAATAAAATTAATAAAATAATATTAGACACGCATGATGTTAGACAGATATTTAATAATTTGATATTGAGGATAATTTTTTTTTATAAATATGACATGTCATTGGTTTACCGTAAGAAAAGATAATTACATCTATCAAAATAACCTTGAATGATTGTAAAAGTAACTTCACAGAACGAACACATTTCTTCACAAAATTATGCTTTAGTACCATTAACCTACCCATTAAAAAAAGGTCTAATTGAAGGATAAGTTTTTGATTTATTCATGAAATTATATATAAAAGTTTTTTTTAATATACAAATAATACAGAAATTCCAAATTAGAAAGTATTTTCTCTATGATTGACATAAACTTAACTTAACTTATCAGATAGAGTATTCGCAGAGTTCAAACGACGTTAAAAATTGAATAAAAAATTTTCTTTAATGGTCTTAAAAATTGGAAGCAGTCACAATCCAATAAAATTACTGCAGTCTTTCAGATATTTTTTGAAGAGATCCCGGATTACATTTAATAAATATAAATGAACCTTTATAAGCAAAAATTCTATAACTCAATTTTGAAGTAAAATAAGATAAGGTAATCTAAAAAATTAAAACGACACTTTTTTGTTGATTTTCACGTTGCAATGAACTTTGATTTAGTACAATAAATTTTGAACTACGAAAGTTTATAATGTCATTAGCCTTAATGACGTTAAAACATATTGAATAAAATCCCAGAAAGTCTTACGAAATTATACTACATGATTTTTGTCTCTCAAAAGGTTAAATATTTATGATTTATATTAATTTGATCCATTTAGTTGACATATATTGATGTCGGCTTACTTTATTCTTTTTTGAGATCATTGTCAATTACTTTTTATACTTGTGATAACGATCTCATTACAAGTATAACGTAATATATGTGTAATTTATGATAACTCAATTATGAAATTTTTATAATTTTTTTTTTAAATATATGGTCATCCAGAAATTCAACTTCAGTTTTTTAAATTCGAAAACCTAACTATGGACCTTATATTCATTTAGTGTTACTATTCACAGTAATATTCATAAATACAATTTAAAATTTTAATTAAATTCGATTAATAAGTATTTTCATCGCATATGTAGTCGACGGAGTAATAGCAGTGGAAGAGTTCTGATCACGTTCAATACGTACCACATTATATAATTGAATTCGTAACATTTTATTCACACGCACATATACAATTATCATATTGTATTATAGCCGTGGTGGAAATAAGTACATAATTATTTTCATCGTTATTTATAACGCATTTTTTTATCATCAAGTTGTTGAGAAACTGAAGTATTATAAAAATAATTTACTTGTCAACATGTGCTGAAAGAAAAACTAGCATCAGAATGATTTAAATAAAGTCAAATAACATGCATAATAAGATAATGTTTTTAAATTAACCGTTGCGTGTAGTTGACTTGTTTTGTCACTACGACATTGGGTTACATTCTTATAACAATCATTTTCAATTCTTTACTAGTTATGACTAAAAAAACAAACATTCTACTTATTCACATTATTATTTTTAAACTGTTTCAAACCTTGTAAACTGTTTTTGAAGGGCAAAATTTATGCCACGATATATTCATGTAAATAATTGTAATAGTATTCTATACAGACTTTATAACCGGTACTGGTCAAGTGAGTATGGTTTTCAATTGAAACGATCATACGGAAAAAAAGAAATTGCAACCACACTAACAAAAAACTTTGTCATTATGTATAAGTTATTTTTTATTAATTTTTTTAAAATACTTTTATACTATACTTCCGTTAATTGGCAATGGAAGTATAAAATCTAAATTCATGTTGCAGTATTACCACGTTCTAACCTGTACAATTACATAAGAACAAGTTGTAATACTACACAAATAATTACTCATTAAAAAAAAAAACATTTCCCTTTTTTATTAGTCATAATATAGTATATTTTTATGATATTATACTTTGTGCGGGTTATGGGAGCAGAGATAAACTGACATTGTTCCAGTAATTTGAGCCAAATGTCCTCCAGAATTATGTAATTTATCATATTAAACAGTGTCGGTTATTAATATGTTAAAGCTACGACAATAATACTGAATACACAAATTTATTAGAATGATTATACGGATAAATTACCTCCTAATCAATGATTCATAAGTGGCGAACAAATTTTACTATACTTCTGATACATGGTCATAAGTAACATAAACATCATAGTAATAAACAGTAATGAGTTATTTATAAGTAATGAGGCTATTTGTTAAAATGCTTCATAAAATTGGACACTGTTTATTTCATGAATTATTGTTATATTTGATATAAAGTGGGCCATCAAGTAAAATAGTAAAATTAAAAAACAAAAAATTATTTTTGAATTTACCATGCGGATAACAACACAATTTAAAACGTTATTTGAGAACGATATTATAAATTATAACAAAAATTTGTTTCTATTCAAATAATTGAATTACCCTTAATTTTATTTTTCATTATTATTATTTTAACTCATCGTTCAATAAAACAAACATATATGTTCATATATTTATTATAACATATATAATAAATTATAACTTAGTGATTAATTAATAATTGTTTTATGTTATCAAATGAAACATTTGGATAAAAAGCAATACCAGACAGAAAAGAAATGTTTAAAAATATCAATAATTATAAAATTACAATTTTATATTACAGTCAATATTATTTGGTTTTATAATTATGTTATTTTTAGTATTTCACCCTATAGAAGTTTCATAATCTAAATCAAAGAGTGGCGTGATGTTTGGCTTTCACTGGAATCTAATCCCCCAAAAAATAAAAGATAAAATATAATACGCGCGTTCGTGCAATCTCACACTAGTCTCCACTGTCTACACACCATAGTGAAAGTGCTACAGGCAGTTTTTAAGAACGACCGCAGTCCAGAAACGCCGGCTCAGTTCACTCACATTGACGAAACCAGTCGACCAGTATACAACACTCTTGTAAATTATTATTATATTAAAGATTTGAAAAATAACGTTAATTGTTTTTTTTAATTGTTCTATTTATGACATATTTAACACTCCAGAAATTATTGTTATTATATTTTTTTGTTGACAATTTGTGCAATAATTAACTTAAGTAATTATCTAAACATATATAATCGTTTTGTGACAAGTAGAGAATTAAAATAAAATAAAAACCGCTTTAATCTTGTTGACTCTTATGTAAAATGACCGTTGGCGGCAATGGTCTCTGCATACTTGGTGCTCGGTCTGATGATCGTGTCGCTAGGACAAATTTCGAATGCGATAGTAATCAAAGGTCGGCGGCTGCAAAGGTCGCCAGACTTAGCAGAAGACATGGCAGCAGTTTTTGGCCCTTCAGCACCAGAGGGCGACGATTGGAAGCAACTACACTTCAACGAAATACCACCTGTGCTACCCGAAAGCTACCCACAGAACAACCAGGATTACTATTCCAATATTTACAGTTGAGTGTTTTTTTTACATGGTTACACTAAAAATATCTATAATTTCTTTCATGGTAAAATTTCCCAGCTTGATATAAATTTGTTCTTTGAAAATTTTTTAAATTTTACAGCGTCAAGGTAATCGAAGTAGATAGATGGTTTTGATATTTTGCTAGAGATTTTGTTTAAAAATTATATTTTAATATACTCATAATATTAAATGTATATTGAAAGGTCCAATGTAAAAATTAGCTAAAATTTCTATTTGTTAAAATTGTCCTGGTGACGCAAAATATAAAATAAATTTGGTATCAAACTCTTTATATTAGACACCTCAATTTTTACTACATTAGCTTTTCTAGTGGACAAATAAGTCCAGAATTCACACTCCACTATTAAAAATATGATTTTATATAAAAAAATATAAAAAGTATATTTTTAAAAAAATGCCCAATTAAATAATCAGTTATTATATTGTACCCATTATTTTGTAAATATTTATTCTATTTAAATATAGAAAAATACTTCTAAAATGAGTCTATATGTATAATTAATTTTTAATAAAACTATTTTAATGTGTGTTATNATTTAAAAGTCTATATATATAAAATTACTTTTTAACAAAACTATTTTAATGTGTGTTATTTTTGATATTTCCTTTATAAGTTAAAAAAAATTAATTATCATATTTAATTAAAATAAAGTTTTGTTTTTTTATTTTTATTAATTAATTATATATAGGATAATACATATTTTAAATATTAAATTCGATTTGTTGAGTTAAAAAGCTTAATGCAATAAAAATTTAAGCTCTAACAATGTAAAATGGTATTTAATTTTTATTGTCACATTATTCGATACACAAAATTATTGCATGTTATGTTACAGTAAAAAAATTATATACAATTAAAATTAATCTTATAGCACAAAAATAAGCTATCTAGTTGTCATTTAGATTATTTTTTATATAGTTTATATTTATCATATGTAAATTTTTACATACTACATATTTAAACTATTATATATATAACTGAAGGGATTGCAATTTTCTTAAAACTAATTAGTTTTGAGAAAATGTTGATCCTTCCAAAACCTATTGTTTTTTTAGTCAAGATGTTGCATAGTGGCACCTTAAGTGAAAAATACAGTCTCTATATATCTTTAGTGACATCATCAACCTAAAAAATGTTGACGTATTTTGTTGAAATTTAAATAATAAATTTTCCAGTAAACCTAAATATCAATACATTTATTATTTTAAAATATAATATCCATATATATATATATATATATATATATATATATATATATATAACATCGACTAATTTTTGAGTTGGAGATGAGAATTAGTCAATTATATTCGATTATGTCTATCACAATTATACACTTCTTTTAATTGATATCATTTCAAAAATATATTCAGTATAGATTGATAAAGTTTCTTGTAATACGTATGAAAGAAGTTATAAAAAATTAAACCTAAAAATCAAAAGAAAACATAAACTTTCCAATAAAATACAATAATTTGCGATAATATGTGTCAAAATAATATGAATAAAATGGACGTGTGTATAATTTAAAGAAAGAAATATATAGCTGTTTCTTTGCGTTGTTCNTATGAATAAAATGGACGTGTGTATAATTTAAAGAAAGAAATAAATAGTTGTTTCTTTGCGTTGTTCATTTGTATTATCTGTCTAATAGTTACACTCATGTGTTCAGTGAACTCATTCTATGACAAGGTTAAAAACGCAACCTACTTTAAAAAGATCTTCACGTATAATATATGAAATTAGAAGAGTGAGACGAATAGAGAAGGAGGGCAAGAAAGGTTCGATACATCATTATTGTCATATAATCAATTACCATGGTCGGTAATGTAGTTTATAGGTTCTAATATGTTTTAAATTCATAGCACGAATGATAAAAATTTCACTAAACAAAGTTTTTAGACAAATGAGAAGAAGAAAATATATGGAAATCACCAATCCAATTAAATATCATAATAGTGAGAGTTTAAAATATTAATTTCTTGAGGAAAATTTTTCTTGGATTTTATTTGAAAAAATGTATGAAAAATATTTTCTTTTTAAATATTTTCTATAAACTACTTTTACAATCTTCTATTTTTAACAATGAAATGAATTATTTTTTATTTTATTATAATGTTTTTATTTATTAGGTTTTTTTAAAGTTAAAACTAGTAATCAGGGATTGAATAAAAAAAAACTGATGTTTATTTACTTTTTTTTAACTGTATTTATATAGATTTATTACTAGAAAAACGTTATGAATATCATTTTATCTCCCTTCATTTTAATACTATAAACGTTAAAAATATAAATTGTTCAACGTTTAAATTTATTATAACGTGATAAATAAGTAATTATGAATATCAAATAAAAAATATTTATTCGTGTTTCGTTAAAATACGAAGAAAAAATTCTGTAAATTTCCTTATGTAAAATTAAAATGTTTAAAATGTTATTTTAGTGGAGAAAATGGTTCGTCGATGGGCACCACTTGTTTGGTTAGCACCCGACGAAAAATTCATGCCAGCGTCTGTTACGGACTTTCTGAGTCACGTGACACCCAAACCAAAATCGTCTATAGATCTAATGAACTCAAAACTTCCAATGGGTCTCAATTCTCAGACATGGTATTTGGTGACCAAGACCGAAGTCGGTAAGATGATTGTGAAGTAACTTTATTAATACATTATAATTATTATTAATATTAATATAATTAATTTTAAATCATTTTAAAATAAAATGCTATTATATATTTGTAAGCTATATTAAGTCGATCCATATTGAAGTTCTTAAAAAAAGTTTTGTAAGTAATACAGAACTACATCATACGAAGCACAAGATAACTAAATAGAATAATTTATATTTAGTCATCGCACAATTATACTATAAAAATTAACTATATAACCACGGAACCCTTAGAAGAGGATTTTATCTTATTTTGGGCTAGTTTAACACCATTATAATTGCGCTAGTACCTACAAAACGCATNATTTTATCTTATTTTGGGCTAGTTTAACACCATTATAATTGCGCTAGTACCTACAAAACGCATTGAAAAACCATTCCTATGCTCTTATTCTAAATCTGGCATTGGGTTTAAGCTAAAAATATTTAAATTTTAATAGCATTTAACAAATTAATTAAATGACATCATTATTCAATCCACTATTCAGTGTATAAATAATGCGGTGACTACATAGAAAGTTAATGAATTCGTTAGCGTTGCTTACTAACTACTAAATATCACCTGGATTGGCTGTCAGTATGTTTATTATTTCCTTCGTATAGAATTTATTTATGATAAAGAAGAAAAATATGTAACGTGTGTGTATTAAGTACACATTAAGCTACTTAGTTCATAGTTAGACTTCTCTAATAAATTTTAAATAATTAAATACATTTTTATAATTCGTTATTCATGTACAGTTTGTTTTTTAAGATAAAACAATTTCTAAAAGTAACTTTTGATAGTTAAATAGGAACCTATTTTTATTTTTTTACTATTAAATGAAGATTGGTTTTAATAAAATTTCGAATGATCGATAACCAACTTTGTAATATTACTTTTTGATATTAGCATTTAAGAATTTAGAAAAGTTACGAACGGAGTAGTATATAGCAACGTTCTATTTTTACCAAGATTTACAGAAAAGAATTCTTGCGCATCTCTCTCGCCTATAACTAAAAACTACATTGACTCAAAAAGTTATAATATAAAATATGTTATTGACCAGTCGAAATTTCATTTAGACCATTCTTCATATAATAGTAAAAAGATAAAAATAAGTTCCTATTAATTTTTGAAAATTACCTCTAAAATCTACCCTTAGAAATAATTTTTATTACATCAAACTGTACATAAATGACGGATTATAAAAATTAATTAAATTTTAATCTACACATTTTTGTTTTTAGAAAATTTGCTACAAAACAATACATCAGTACTATATGGACAAAACCCAAGTACAGCAATGGTACCTGTCTATGCAAGAGTCACAGAATGCGGCCACAAGAAATTCCACGTATCTTACTGGCTCTTCTTTCCGTTTAGTCAAGGCAAACCTATCTGTACTCTTGATATCGGTGTTCTCGGTCCACTTCCTTTGCCACTCATTAATAATCAGTGTTTTGGTACTTTAAAAGACTTTGGAAGTCACGTTGGTGACTGGGAGCACATGAGTCTTATGTTCAATGTATGAATAAAGCAATATGTTAAACGACGCTATTTTTATGATACAATGATTATCTTTAAAGTAGTATAGTATTTTTATTTTGTAGGGCAGTGAAGTACCACAAAAAATGTATGTATCTGTACATGATGCTGGCGCATTTTATAATTTTGATAGTAACCGTCAAAAATTTATATTCAATCGACAAGAAGTGCGTAAAGGATTCATGCAAAAGCCTAAGTTTCCGGAAGTAGTGCATCTCACAAAAAAAGGTTCTCATCCTGTGCTTTTCGCGGCAAAGGGATCACATGGTCTATGGACGGCACCCGGTATAATTTTTATAGTATTCACATTTTCCATTCGACTGTATCTCAACTACGAATCCTAAAATTGACACAATCTCCCCTTGTCATTTATACACACGCCAGCAATCCCCGTATCACAACCATCCGACCACACTCTTTTTCGGTTTTTCATTTCCTCTTCTTTTTTTAACGTTCATTTCAATAACTATTTTTATTTTTACATATAAAAATTAAAAAATAATTTATGTATACATTTTTTATTTTAATTGCACATAATAAAATGACATAATTAACTGTACATAAACAAAAAAATTCTAAATTATCATTTCTTATAGTATAAGATTTATATATCAATGTTTTTGTTTTAGGAAAACATAAGTACGTCAGGTTACCAAGATTATATGACGATAGTGGGTTTGGTTTACCATGGAGAACTTGGATGAACGTAGAAATGTTAAATACGTCTAATAAACTTCCTCTGTGGATGCACTACTATGGAAGATGGGGAAATCCGCATAACAAATGCCATCCTCTGTCCCGAATGGGTCTTCAAATATGTCAATTTACTGATGGTCCAACCGGTATACCGATGAAACCATATGATTTTCAATGTTAAAATATATTTTATCATGTACAATATCAATTATATTTTAAACATACTGTTGTAAGAGAAATTTATAAGACCTATGTGATAAATATTAACTATATTCATAATAACTTTCGAGAGGAAAACGTGTTCTTGATCATATAGTATGTCTTTGTTGTATTTTATTGTAACTTTTAATGTTGTTGATATTATAGTATATGTATATTATTATCGTTATTAAAAATCTTACTTTATGTTCATCACTACGACCATATTATGCAAGGGCTGTTCTGAGAGAAAGTAGAACTTCTCATGTTTAAGTTAATTGTATAAATAATTTTTTTAACGCTATAACGCCGATTCTAATTAATGTCATTATTCATTTTTTACTTAATAAACTAATTAATAATACTGTATCACATACAAAATTATTTAAGAAGAGATAAGGTGACCCTTTTTTAATTAAGAATTACAATAAAATCAATTTATTCAGTATTACCATTGAGTATAAATATATGTTTCTATATGTAATGTATTAAAAAACATATGTTCTTTAAAACGCAAGATTTTTCTGATCTCATATGGCATACTTCACGCAATAACCCTGTTTTTATTCTGTTTAATTTCTATTTACCCATTTTTACGGTAAATCTTACTACTGCACTTTTAATAAACAAGTCTTTAATTTCAAATTAATTCTACAAATAACAAATCAATAATTTTTAGTATAGTAAAAGTTATAATCTTAAACACAAATAGAATATTTAATAAATAATAAAGTCATAAAATAACAAAATATTTTTAAAATCATTTTTAATTTACTAAACAAAAAATGTATCTATACTTTTGTACACATTTTAAAGTTATCTCTATGGATATTACTACATTCAAAGGTAAAATTAAAAAAGTTATAAATAAGTATTAGCCCAGACCTTATTCTAATAAAAAAATTTTACAGATCACTTTGAAAATTTAATTATATATTTAAATGAGAATTAATTAACTCAGGTAACATATGATGTTCATAAAAATTAATTAGTTTATTTTCTATGTTATCACTCCAAAACTAGTCGTCACGTATAATTTTGAAATGAATTATTATTAAAACAATTAATTATTGTGATATATGATTAAAATTCGTAATAAATCGTGTTAAATTAAGTATATGTGTATCATTTTCCTGTATTCTCAAATTTCCTAACGATTATTCTAATGTTATAATTTAGAAGACGAATCATTAACCGTGTCTTAGTACAAACCATCTCTAAAACAATATTAATAATGAGTCATTATTAATGACTATTAAATAATTTTGCGTTAAAAATTTAATACATCTCCATTTATCCATATGCTTTTCATTTTAATTTTTAGTGAATTCCAAAATAAAAACCCAGCACAGTGGGGACGTGGCGCTAATTTCAAATCAGAAATTATATTTTTTCTATCACCAATAATTTTTGATATCATTACTAATTAGTCAAAAACTATAGGATATAATTATAAAGAAAATAGTTCTGAATATTTCAATTGTATCATCTATTTAAACACAAAGAGTTACATAGAAATTATTAAAATTTCTTTTAAAAAGATTTATTACAATAAATAAAATTTTTATTTATCCTAATGAAATACAAAAAAGTTGTTTTTAATTTATAATAAACTTTGATTTTTAATATTTTAAAAATAATCAGTACAAAACCATAAATTTAGCTCAAATTTAAGTTTGAAATTTAAATTATTAAATAGAAAATTTGATGAGAATTAAAAAATAGTATTGTTAAAATATGTAGATATCTTAATATGCAGTTAGTAAATTGTATAATTACTATTTACAGTAAATATATCAGAAAAGCTCAATATTTTTTTTTGTATTTTTGTTGTAATAGATCATTTAAATAGAAATCGAGGTAATCATATCTATGTAACTTTTAGTGTTTAAAAAGATTCTTCAATTAAAATATTCAAAACTTATTTAATTTTAATGATTTATTTTAACTAATAAAACTAATCAAAATATTGTTAAAAAAATGTACTCCATTGAGTGTATTATAAAATTTGATTATAATTGTAAACATTTTTTGTTAAATTCAGATGTAATTAAAAATAACATTTTTCAGATTTATGATTTATTTATATAGCAACATTTTACCAACAAATTTGGAATATTTTTAATATTATAATAATTCTGACCTTGGCCACTATTGGGTGGACGTGGGCCGTTGTCTAAAAAAGGAAAATTCATTATAATAACTCTTTTTTTGAAATACAGAATGATAACTGAATAAGCCTATAAAAAAGCACGACACATTCAAGACGCACATTTCCCGTTTATGACATTTGTGATACATTATATAAGGGCTGAATACCCTATTTAATTAACAAGTTAAACTCATTAAGATTTCCCCACATACGTGAGTGTATTCTTTACTACATTGTGTGTCTATAATCTTNCCCACATACGTGAGTGTATTCTTTACTACATTGTGTGTCTTTAATCTTAACTTTTGACATTAAGTTAAACCATACATTTGTTAAAATAATTAACACTTTCAATAATAATAAATACTCTTCTATTAATCAAATACGATTCTCTTGCATTAATATACCAACTATAATTTTAAGAACACTGTTAACAACCACAAGTATATAATTAAAATTCTATCATCATCAGTGAATTTCAGGTAGGAAAAGTTTTAATACACTAACTATATTTATTAAGTAATGACCGTTAACCATCAATATTCCCCTCATATTTAAAAGTTATACTACTATTATGTTTAATCTTTCTTTTGGTTATTACATATTATAGACTGGTAGTAACACACACCAATGAAGTTAAAAAATTAATAAATTACAATGAGTAAAATTATTTAATTTTTTAGTAGAAACCTATTATCATATTTAACCTAATTCGACAATTATACTTTAAAAACATTAGAAATGAATCATTTTAATTATCTATATGGAAAATTTGGGCTAAATAACTTATTTAGAGTAGAATTTTTTTCAATTTTTGAGTTAGTAGTAGTAAGTTATTGAATCTAAATGAGATAAAAATCCAATGAGTTAAAAATTATTTTCTAACACAAAAACTTTTATAAGGTAACCATTTCACCATGAAGACAAAATGAAGAAATAAGACGGGTAGAAGAGAAGAAAGTAGTATAATGTGAAGGGAAATTGGTAGCTGTGGCGATGGTATAGCATAAAGAGATAATAATAGAATGAAATAGGGATCTCGGGGTATGTATGCCTACAAAAGCACGTTATATATATATATGAGTAAAGGTGAAATACTAATGAAAGATACTATACAGAGTGTTCAATAAGTTCGAAACCACCGATTTTTTATAACCGCTATTGATTTTTTTAATAATTTTTTTTTTTTTAGAGGCTAATTGAATAATTAAATACATTTTTTATGAATAAAATTAAAGTTCAAACCTAATGAAAAAGGGTAGAAATCTACCCTAACTTCAGAAATTTAAATGGCAACCATTTCTTTTTTTTAAATTTTCGGTTAGGAAATTTTATTTATGACAAAAATACTTTAAAATTTAAAAATTGGACAAGTCATTTTTGAGATTTTGTTGTTTAAAAGCATTAATTTTGAGTTTGGAAGCACATTTTGCTATAGTAAAAACTAATCGATATAATTCCGTAACACAATAATCATAAATTGCTTGATTATTATTGTTTGGTTTATCTTAAATCATATTTGAACATGAAACGATCAATAAATATTGTTAGATTGATATTGTACCTTATCAATGGAATTATTAAATATCAATAAAAATATGATTTACGATTGCATTTTTTTCATGTTTACAAGTGAAAGTAAATTGTTGTTGAAAAATATGTGTGTTATCAAATTAAATATTTTAGTCAATTGTAACCAATTGTACGTTGTTATTCGTCAAAATGATTTTAACGTGTCTTTATCATTTTGCTGCATGAAAATTTAAAGGTTCTATATCAGGCATGACCAACCTTTTTAAGTTTGCGGGCCATTTGTCATTTCAACAAAACTTAGACGGGCATGCTGCCCACCATTACTCGTCGCATTGAAGACATTGGTAAAAATTTACAAGATCAGTTGCAAACAAAAGCAGAACAGTTTTCTTTTTTTCCTTGGCTTTGGACGAAAGCACGGACAATCGTGATACAGCGCAATTACTCATTTTTGTGCGGGGAATAGATCGAGAATTTACAATAACTGAAGAGCTTGCATCTTTACAGAGCATGAAAGACCGCACATCTGCAGATGACCTTTTTGAAGAAGTTTTGCAGTGCATAACAAAGTTGAATTTAAATTGGAAAAATCTTTGCGGACTAACAACAGATGGTGCACCAAGCATGATTGGTTCAAAAAATGGATTAGTCACAAAAATTTTGCATCAAATGGCCACTCAAAATTTAGAACAGCCATTGCCTGTTCTTTGCATTATTCACAAGCAGGCGTTATGCAGCAAAGTACTCGAAATGGACCACGTCATGAATGTTGTTAGAGACATTGTGAACTTTATTCGTTCTCGTGGCTTGAATCATCGGCAATTCCAAGCATTTTTGGAAGAAGTCGGGAGTGAATTTTCCGATGTTCTTTACCACAACCAGGTACGTTGGTTAAGCCGAGCCCAAGTATTATCACGCTTTTTTAATCTTCTTGCTGAGATAGAGATTTTTATGACGGAGAAAGGAAAAACATTCGTTCAACTTTCTGATTCATTGTGGATTTGGGACTTAGCCTTTTTGACCGACATATCCAGTCACTGCAATGATTTAAATTTAAAACTACAGACACAGGGAAATTCATATTTGAACTCTTAAATGACGTGTCCGCTTTTGAATTGAAACTAAATCTATTTAGTAGACAAATTGAAAATAACAATTTTATACACTTTAATTGCTGTAAAAAGATACAAGAAAAGAATTTTTTTAATTTTTCAACAGTAAAATTTGTAGACTTGTTGGAAAAATTAAAAACGGATTTCCATACACCGTTTAAAAAATGTAAAGAACAAAGTGTATTGTTTCGATTGATTGAAAATCCTTTTCATATGGATGAAGCTGTAGTTCAGGAAAATTTTCAAATGAAAATAATAGAACTGAAAACTAATACTTTACAGAAGGACTTCTATGAAGAAAATCGAAAGAATTTACCAAACTTTTACAAAAATCTTGACGACAAAAATTTTCCTGAATTAAAAAAACTGGCTCAACGTGTTTTTTCAATGTTTGAATCGACATATCTATGTGAACAAACATTTTCAAGGATGAAATGTATCAAAAGCAAAGATAGATCTCGCCTTACAGATGATAATCTTCATTACTTACTAAGGGCTGCCACTACAAAATTTGAACCTGACATCAAGAAGTTGGCGCTACAAAAACAACCTCAAGTTTCACACTGATTTTAACTTTGTATTTGAATTTTTTTCTGACATATTTGAAATAAAGCATTTATCAAATTTTTTTACTGTTTTATTCAAATTCTAAATTAAACTATGGGCCGCATAGAACAGTGTCGTGGGCTACAAGTTGGTCATGCCTGTTCTATATGCTGTTTATCACTATTATATTTTGACTTATAGTGCTTTGCCTCGTCCACACATTATTTAATCTTGACATAGTGATATAATTAGATAGATGCTTTTTTATTATAATAATTTAATTTTTATATTTGAAAATATAAATGATGAATCATTGACTTTGTTACAATTAGAAGTGCTTACATATTTTAGTTGTTGTTTTATTAAGACATGATATATTTTTACAATAATTGGTTTATTCATTAATTCAATTAACATATGAATGTATAATATTTTATTATATTTTAGCAATATTAAGTTTTTAGAAAAATTGACGATTTAATATTTCTGGAAACATAATGTTTTCGTAAAAGTCAATAAGATTTTTTTCCATACGAGTGTTCCAAAAATCGTCATCTCGAAGAATTTTACAATAGTCCATACCTAAAAAAATAAATCAATAGCATTTTATAACAAAAATATTTTTGAATTTTAATTTTTGAATCAAATTATATAGTGATTTTAGTCTCTATAACAGTAATAAAATTGTTTCTTATTTTTCTGAATATTAAGTCTTTTAATAAATGGTTAGACATAATCCAAAAATTTGTCATAAGTTAAATTTATATATGACAAGAAATTAGAAATTATGTTTTTGCTGTCGGTTGTAAAACAGTTACTGCAATCGCATTACGGCACCGTAATTAAATGTGTATAAGGAAAAAAATTGTCTTTAAAAAAGAAAATTAAAAAGAAACTTATTTATAATCATTATTTATATTATTTTAGTTCAATCATTTCTCTATATTAATCTATCGTGTACTACTATTTCTACTATCACAGATAATATAAAACAAGATAGTGCACTTTTTGTTCAAGACACATAATTATAAAAAATGTAAACAAACCAAAACCTGCCTCAGTTCAGTACGCCACTTACAGGAAAAAAAAACTTTAGGACAAATTATTGTTTTTCAACTAGGCATTACTGGCTTTTATTGCTTGTATGATGTCGTTTTAAGCGCGCCAAATTTACCAATATTTTCTAGTTCCGTTTCACTTTCGAAGTATTACGGATATCCATTTTATATTTCATATTTATGTATTTATTGTTAATTTATTAACAATTACAACAGTTTTTTTTTTGCAGTATGTTTTTAAATTATGAACAATAAAAAAATATTTCATAGTTCAAACGCGGCGCGAAATACTATAAAATTGACCATATTTTGCAGTTAATAAAAAAATTGTGTATCATTTGGATCCATCTCATATTTTGAAAGCTNCGGCTAAGAGCAGTGGTACATGTTGCCACCCCCACTGAAATAACTAGGGTCCGCGGGATTGTTAGGCCCGTAATCCTTGCGGATTTCCCTGCGGGAATATTTAGAATTTAGTAGCAGATTAGATAAAATGGAATTATTTAATCTGCAATGGAGTTAACAAGACTTTTGTAGGTAGATAAAAAAAAGGTCAAAAGGTTTACCAATAAATTTACATTAAAGTTATTCAAATTGTGGCTGTTTTGAAATTCCATAAATATGTATTTATTCTCATGGATACACGCAAAACCAATTATTTGATACAATAATTATAGTAAAATTTACTGTAACAATAAATTAATTCCTTATATGTGTGTTTACTGATTTGAGACAGGTTCGAGTTATCAGTAAATCAAAAAGTGTACCATCTGGATTTATCATACCTGTGCTAATATTGTTATTTTTGTATGTTGTTATTATTAATCTTATGTAGGCCAACAGCATGTCATATATAATAAAAATAAAAACTATGTATTAAAAATTTTATTTAAAATTTTTATAAAAAAAATTAAAATCTAAAAAAAAATTAAATTTTGGAAAAAATTTCAAAAAAATCTTAGTTTTATCTTATAAATTCCTGTACAACATAAATTTTAAGTCATAATGAATTTATTTTTAGTACCTTTTGGTGTCCAAATAATGAAATAACAATATTGTCTCTTTGAAATGTGCAGTTCTCCTTGTATTTGGAAAAAAATTGGAGAAGTACATTTTAGTACAAGATCACCATTTTCGTTGTAATGTACATATTTTATCACTTTATTTTTAATAGCATCTTTGGGAGTCATATTTTGGGCGTTAAAGGGACATTTTATTTCAACAATACCATCAGTCCCAATTAAACCATCCGGCTTTGCTGTTAAATAATAAAAGTTTTCATCAATAAGTATACCAGACATTTGAATCTTTACGTTCATTTTCTTTTCAAAATGTTCTATTGCCTTCGGTTCATTAATTGTGCCATATTGAATATTAAGCCTATATAAATGTATATATATACAGGGTAATTTTTTTTATCATAACTCACTCACAGAATAATAATAATTTAAACATTCTTTTTTTAGATTATCTTTATTTACACATTATTATTGAATTATTAACTATGTAATAATTTTTAAGTTCATCCCTTATACCTGATAAGGGCGTCAACTTTGTTTTTTTAAATGGGAACACATATTTTGAATTTAATAAAATTTTTGAGTTTTTTATTTAATAGCAAATGACATTTGAACTTTTAGTATAACTTTATTTGTTTCTTAGATATAAACATTTAAAGTTTCAAATTTTTGAGTTAATATACATGTAAATAAATAAGGGATTATAATACAAGTAGCTAATTGGTTTTTTTTGACATTGCTGTCACAGTCTAGGATTTTTTATTATTAATTATGACTACCAATAGATATCTTTTCTGTATTGTCAGTTAGTGTATTTATATTCTCACAACAATGTGCCTTACTACCATTGATAATAACAATGGTGTGTACCTTCTAATATCGATGTCATAAAAAATCAATTAGCTACCTGTATTTGTAATCCCTTGTGTATTATACATGTATATTAACTCAACAATTTGAAACTGTAAATGTTTATATCTAAGAAACAAATAAAGTTATACTAAAAGTTCAAATGTCATTTCTATTAAATAAAAAACTCAAAAATTTTATTAAATTTAAAATATGTGTTCCCATTTAAAAAAACAAAGTTGACAACCTTATCAGGCATAAGGGATGAACTTAAAAAGTATTACATAGTTAATAATTCAAAAATAATGTGTAACTAAAGATAATCAAAAAAAAAAAATTTTAATTATTATTCTGTAAGTAATTGAGTGGGTTATGATAAAAAAATCACCCTGTATATCAATAAAAGCATAAAACAGGAAATTAGTGTCTTCTTAAAAACGCTTTAAACTAAAATATTAAAAAATAACTGTTTGAAAATAATATGAAGAAATAATCGTTCTTATTATTACTTATTATACTTTTTATTACTTACGGGATATCTTTGGTATTACTTGATTTTTCATTACTAACGCGCAATGTTTTTTTTAAGATTGATTCTTTGTTTTTTGTTTGGTTAAATGAATAAGCACTGAAAAAATGAGAAGCTGATAGATGTGTATTACGTACTTTATCCCACAAATCTTTGTCAACGATGTGTATTTCATTTTTCTTAAAAGTATTATCGTCATAGTTATTTAATTTTAAACTTTGTAGAAAAACTTTTTTAATATTTTCGTAGTCTTCATTGATAACCACTTCTTTTTGATTAGCTGTTCCATTATTTGCAATATGAATAATAGATTAAAGAAAAACGAAATTAAATAACAGTTAAGGGGATAGCATGCATCTATTAAGTTACTCCTGTTTGCCAACAAGATATATATTTTTAATATTTAAAAAATTATATCGATAAAATATATAAAATATTTCGAGTTATATATTTTATATTTATTCCAATTAATATATTTTTATAATATTTATAAGCAAATATTTAAAAAGATATTTTTAGTGTAAGATTCTGTATTTATTCTCTTTAATATATTCTCAAAATATTCATAAAAAAATATTTAAAAAATTATTTTGTGAGCATATTGTAGAAATATTTCAATAGATTATATTTTTCATTATATTTAAGAGATATTAGTCACAATATTTGCTTCAAAATATTTTAAAAAGTATTTTGTAAGAATATTTTGAAAATATTATTATATTGAGATTACTATGTGGGTAGTTAATTATATTTTTAGTTATGAAATTGAAATTGCAATTTATCATAGGTTATTGGTTTTCTCTAAATATACTTAATAGATGCACAATAAAAGTTGCACAAATCCTCTCTAAAAATATTTAAAATTGACACTAATATCGTATTTATTGAATAAGGGAATTTAAATGTGAAAAAAATGGGAGATATAAGATTATATCTCCCACTTTTATAAGACTATACTAACTAACCTAAAGTACAGGCGTTAATAATTGAAAAAAGTAGATACTAATGATCTACCTATTATTTAAAATATTATTTGAGAATGCAGAATTTCTATAAAACGTGGAAAAGTAATTATTAAAGATCAAAAAAAATTTTTAGCACTCCATGACTATATAAAAATTTCGGAATCTATTGATTAAAATGCTAATATTTTTCGATAGAAATTTTTGATTTAAAACGTGATATCTTTACCATAGAAATTCTAGAGGGACCCTGAACATTTTATTGAAATCCGTTGGTTTTTATCCAAGTTATGAGCTTTATTCTTTTGAAGTCCTATGCATAGTTTTTATGCATACATTATTCAAAAGTTTAGCAATTTAAAACTGAAAATATAAAATTAAATATCGAAAATTTTAACTCAAAAATAGCTACAATATCCATTTGCACATAAATATAAGTTATCGGGAATTTTTATGATTTAACTTAAAGCATGTAACAAAAACTACTATTTAATGTATATTTGAAGCTTGGAGTATTTCCGGAACATTATCAAAAATTGACTTGAAAATTTCACTTTTTATAAAAAAATGTTATATTTAATACCCCTTTGTAATCAGATAAAGACTCAGATTGTCGAAAAATACCTAGGGTATTTATAAATTAAATTTTTTTTTGATTCATCCATTTTTAAAAAAGTTATGACAGTTTTAAGAAAAAAAGTTTAAAAAATGTCAAAATTTATCTTTTTTAAAAATAATAATTTTTGGGCGATTGCTCAATTTACGATAAACGAGAGTAAAAATATCAATGTTTGAGAACAATGTCTTCTTTAACATACGATTTGTAATCTTTTGGCGTATCGTTTAAAAAAATCGATTTGGTAAGATTTGAGAAAAACTGGCAAATGACAATACAAAAAGAAATTTCAACATCGCATTGGGTTGATAAAATGAAATTCACAGAGGAACATTAATTTGGAGATCAAAAACATTTTGAATAAAACACTCCACAAGATTTGTGATTTACCTGTAAAGTAAGGATTAAAAGTCAAACGCGTAGTTGCGTAAGGCTTGCATATTTTTAGGTTTGGGATAAAACCCCGGCTAGACGGTACTTAGTAAATTATAAATAGGTAAAAATATTTAAAAGTGCCAATAAATAAGTTCTACATTAAACTTTTTTCACTTAAATAGATAAACATTGTGTTTTTAAAAATTTTAAGAGTACTCATATTGATTACCTTTGTTAATAAGCATATATGAAGTTTTGTTCATTTTTTTTACACAATTAATACTTGTCTTTGACAGTAAATTATTCACATATTTTTTAAAATTTTCTTGATTTATAAAATTTTTACTTTCTCCTTTAAAAGTATTTAATGTGAATGAAATCATTGATTTCAAAAATTCATTATTTATTTTACAATTATCGCAAAATTTTTTCATTGAAGATAGTAATGCAGAATTATCTAAATATTCTAAACTGACATCAAATGTATTCTTTTTTTGTTGTTGAAGTCTTGTTACATTAAAAATACTCATTGCAAAATCATATTGCCAAGGATTAACAACAAATTTTCCATAAATAAAAAATGAAATCATTCTAACTATGTAGTAATATACAAGTTCATAATTTATTTTAAACATATGATTTGGATTTATATTTTTAGTCCTAATATCATTTTTTAATGCTTCTAAAATTTGAAGACATAAAAATGTGTGAATACACTCTAACGACTCTAATTCTTTTTTTAATTTGTTTAAGCTTGATTCTTTTTTTCGTCTACACTCGTAATCGTCTTTACAAGATCTTGATAATAACATTATGTCATCATAATTTATAAGCGAATGATTAATATATTTCTTATTTTTTCCACAGACTAACGATTTGATATTATTATTAATAGTACTTACAACTTGTAAAAACGAATCGTCAAATATAGTGTCATAATCAGGTGCCTGAAATTAATTTGTAATTTATGGTCAAAAAATAAAAGTAATAATAACAAAACACGCAATCTACAGTTTTAATTAAATTTCAAAGAAGGCGTATCTGAGAGATTTCTTTGAGTTTTTTGTATTTACACAATTAACGAAGAGTTCTTTATGTTGAATTTTATTAATAATATTAGCAAGAAATAGGACTTTACATTAATTCAAGGAAAAAAAAATTGGATTTTTTAATGACTATTTTTTATTAATGACATAGTGAAATAAACATCGATGAGTCTCTTAACTGGATTAAGGAGGGGAAAGTAAATACGAACCCTCTCTTCTTTCCAAAACTTTTATTTCGTTACCATTAAGTTAATATAAATAATTAAATTATCTTACATGAAACATTAAATAAGTTTTAAATTGTTGATATTCAACAATATTATATATCATAAAATTATCAACGTCGACATTTATATTTTAAAGGCTGACGTAAATATCTTTTACATTGTTTTGACAGGAGGTAATAAGTGGTATAGTACTTAATCGGTCATCACACCTTTTTTTACCTTTTATCATTTACCTGTTATACCACTCCAAAGGATGACATACATTATACAGGGTGTTCAGTAAGTCTGGAAACGGGTTTCTATTGTTCTCATTGTTACAAACAATGAGAACAATAGAAACCCGTTTCCAGACTTACTGAACACCCTGTATGTTATTGTGTAATGAATTATAAATAGAGTCAGTGGAATGGAAGAGGTTGCCTGTCCAAAACCAGTGATCAATGTAGTGCTCAAAGGTGTAAGTGTTTCAATAACTTCGGAAACACCGATTTTTTAGATCGCTATTGAATTTTTTTTTAGAGGCTAATTGATTAATTAAATGCATATTTTACGATTAAAATTAAAGTTTAACCCTAATGTTAAAGGGTAAAAATCTACCCAAACTTAAAAAATTTAAATAGCAACCCTCAATTTTTCTTACTTATTTCAATAGAGAATTCAATTTTAAAAAGAATTATGGTGAAAATAACATTTTATGTTAAACCATTTTTAAATAATCGTCGTTTTAAGGGTAGAAAAGTGTCCTATTTAAAGGCAGATTTTGCTATGATCATTTCTATGAATTAAATTTTATAAAGATGATATAAATTTCAAACAATCTGCAAATTTATTAAGAAAAAATAATTTTATTAAAGCATACAAAAAGAATTTAAATGGACATTTTAAAAATTGCTATCTTATACGCGATCTTTTATTAGGGTATTTGAAGAATATAGCATTATAGGTCAATGCATATCATAATGTTTCTAGACTTTTAGCAGTGGTATCTAACATACATAACTAGTGTACACTATTATCTGTGATCGTTGAAGCGTGTTCAATTGTTATTGTCGCTTTATCACTTTATAAATGACAATTAGTGTCATTTAAAGTACGTCATGCTGTTAACCCGTAAGTGGTACGGTGAAAAAAATCACACTAACGGTATGGTGCGGTCTCCTGGACCTCTTAATTTTTTATGTAATATTTAGACCACATTTTTCTATTATTCCATCACATTTTTGGTAGAACAATATCTTAGTAGTATTAAATGAGATATGTCAAATTTTTTTTCGACTTTAATTTAAATTATGTAAAGTAACTACTAAATTTGTCAGGAAGTTTTATGATCTGCCATGCATTTATATACTTGACCTTCGTTATGTCCTGAAGCATTTTAAAATACATTTTTTACTCCACAACCATTAAAATATTAAACTAGACATAAATTAAAATATAATAAAAAAAAAAAATTTTATAATTAAAATTTTTTTAAAAAAATAACAGTAGTCAAAACAACTTTTTTAGGATTTATAAATTGCCATCAAAATATAAACAAAACATTTTTTCTTTTTTAAATTATCCTTTTCGACTTTTATAAAAAAAAAAGTTAATTTCCAACACAATTTATACATATTTTTCTGCTGCTCTGCAGACATATTGCATCTCCACAAAGTTTACATTGATATATGGTTTTTCTTTTCTTTATTGGAGGACATATGCGACAAGTTTTTCGTATTTCCAATTTGTCTTCGTACAATGTTGTATCCTTTAGGTTTTTAGATTTTTCAAGAATTTTTTCAATACTGCTCTTTATTTCTCGAGGGATATATGTATTTTCAAATCATCACTCCAATTCAGGAGTTACAAGTTCAAACGCTAAAGTTTTTAAAAAATCGAACCTCGTAATTCATTTGTTATTTTTTAATAAATTATACAAGACATACGAATTTACTCCAGAAATATCAATAAGTCGGTAAAATATAGCCAACGGCCAGCGACGTTACGGCGTCCTGTAGAATAAATGAAACATTTTTCGTCGAGTGCATCTAAGCCACCTTTCGTACTATTATAGTAAGAAATTATCTCAGATTTTTGGATATCATTGTCATAACCTTTTTGATTGTGCATCGATGATATCAATAGCAATAGACTTAGTCGATTTTTGAAAAGAAAAAAAATTACATTAATGGTATGGTGCGGTCTACCGGACCGCTTATCACTTTTAAACAGCTTTAACGACCAGAGCAATACATGTTTACCTTCAAAAACTTGGTTATCATTTTAATTGGGTTTTTATGATATTGCTATCACAGTCACGGATTGTTTATTATCAATTATGACTATCAATAGATATACATTCTGTATTGTCAGTTAGTGTATTTATAAACTCACAACAATGTGTCTTACTACCATTGATAATAACAACGTTTTGTACCTGCTAATATCGATGTCATAAAAAACCAATTAGCTACCTGTAATTTTAATCCCTAGTGTATTATACCTATATATTAACTCAAAAAATTGAAACTTTAAATGTTTATATCTAATAAACGAATAAAGTTATATTAAAAATTCAAATGACATTTGTTATTAAATTAAAAACTCAAACATTTTATTAAATTAAAAATATGTGTTACCATTTAAAAAAACAAAGTTGACACCCTTACCAGGCATAAGGGATGAACTTAAAAAGTATTACATAGTTAATAATTCAAGAATAATGTGTAACTAAAGATAAGAATAAAAAAAAAATTTTAAATTATTATTATTCTGTAAGTAATTGAGTGGGTTATGATAAAAAAATCACCCTGTATACAATATTAGTTGTATTAAACCAAACTTCAATAGAATTTTTAGACTGTGAAAAATTATGTAATTTTGCAAAATAGTTTCCATATTATCAGACAGATAATTTTATTGAAAAATTAAAATACCAATGCGCTTTGGGTAAAACAATATTTTCATCTAGTTCTGGTCTTTCTGAATTGTTTTATCAAATACAAAGTTATCAAATTGGGTTTGAAGAATTAAAAAAAGTAATTGGACTTATAATTGTCATTCCACTATCTTTAGATTTAGAAAAATAAAAAATGAATCTTATAGTATGCCTAACTATATTTTAGTTCACTGTTTCACTTAGTCATAATTATCTAATTAATTTTTAATAAGAATAATTATTTGATTAATAATAAGTAATAGCCATTGATAACTTTGATAAATATATATATTATTAGTTATATTAGTAATAATATAAGTAGCATAGTTTTAATAATTGATCATCAGGGTTTGAAATAATATAACACTCGAATGATTAAAATTGGATATTGAGGCAAAATTTAAAATCTTTACAACTTATGGGTGAATTACACAAAATTTGGGGGCCCAATCAGCCCGATTTTGGTTTATGAGTAAAACAAAAAGATTACTCATTATTTCTGCGCAGTGCCGGAGCACGCATCGGGGCACCTGCCCCGCGGTTGGCTTAGTCCACCCATTTTGTCTTTAGCCTAAAAAAAAGTTGATTATTCATGTTATATGTAACACACATAGAGTTGTTGTCGGTCTTCTATATATGTCAGCATTGTCGTCGCCATCTTAACGATTCTTTTGCTCAGTTGTTTTGTATTTGCTTTTACTGTAAAAAGAAGGTATCACCTTTGTGATTGTCGTACCTGTGCGCTCAGTTTATCGTCGTTGGGTCTATATATTTTCTGAGATACATCACAATACCTTTCACAGCATATTGTACACGTTGGTCAGCTAATTGCATTCGAATTCAATTGATCCTTTCAATATTCAACATTATCATCAGCCGTTTCAATTAGCCGATAAGTATAATGCTTGTTCATCTATTTTTCTAAGACTCCTTGTATAATTTATTATTAGTTTATATCAGCGCCTTTGTGACATTAATATTAAGTGTTCCCCCATCCACATTGGTGTATACAAGATTTTATATTTCTTGTATAATACATTTAATTGTTATAATTATATTTTGTAAAATTCATTCTATATTCAAACATACAGTATACTCACCTTATTCTTTATCCTCGGCATAGCTAAAGACTTAAGACAAAATTTATCCACGAACGTTAACGAACTCGCGTGAATACCACCGGACGCTGGGTCATACAGTAATTTTGTAAAAAAAAAATAATTAAATTAAGCTAACTTCTTTTTAATAATATATCTGTATTTAATTAATTCATTGAAATAATTTTTCTAGTAAATTAATAATAGAATAATAAATTTTTGTTCATTGAAAAATTTGAATTATATGTATTATTATTTTTAGTGTGAAATATACAAATAAAACGTTCTCTATTTTGAATTATTGCATATGTCAGTTTTAAAATGATTAAAATGATTAAAATATATTTTATGTTTTATTAACTGACTTTTAGTATGATTTATTTATTAATCTAATAAATTAATTATGTAATTTAAATATATATTCTTTTTGTATTTTTTCCTATTTTATCTTTCAATATTTTTCCATATTTATTTAAAAAATGATGTGTTATTTTGGGTTTTTTTTAACTCCAATAAGCAACAGATTTTTTATAACATGTATTTGAAAAAAATTGATAAATTTATGCATAATATTTGTAATTATTATTATTAATAAAAATATCAATTAAAAAGAAATTTCTTTAGATCCTCTTTAAGTAAGTTTTATTATATCATCCTTTAATATAATAAAACTTAGTTATTATATTAAAGGATGATAATCAATGATCATTGTATAAGGTTAGTAACTTTTTAAATATATTTTAAAATGGCATCAATATATTTCAACTGTATATATTTTTAAATATTTTATTGACAAATTCTGATTCTAAAGAAATACTAATTTCTTATTATGCAATTAAAAATGTCGAGAAATTTGTTTATTTTTTAAATTTATGAACTGTGTATTTTACTGAAAATGTAAATTGAGTAAACCAAATGTAATATAATAAGACATTACGTGTAACTGGAAGATGTTCCATCACAACAGAATAGTAGTTGAATAGTAGTAATTATCCAATGGAAAGATAGAGCTTATGATACAGTAAAATGATAATATTCATCTAATTAGTTTTATAAACAAGCAGTTTTTTTATGGATATATCTTAAAAATACATATTTAAAATTAATAGATGCAATGCGCAACAGAAAAATGAACGCAAAATTAAAGCGCATTTGTTATAATTAAAATGATTTTAGTGAATAATTAGAAAACAAAATTAGAAATAATGTGTATATTATTTAAATATTAATCATCAAAACAAAAATCAAATTGTGTAAAATAAAAGAACGCAAAATGTTGCTTACAGAGCAATAAGATTCTATAGGTAAAACTTTTTAGTTTTTAATATTATTGATTTTAATATATAGTACTTTTAAAAAAAAAAATTGAATTAATATTTTATTATTTATTTATTATATTAGTTTACGGGACGTATCCCTTTTTTTACAAGCATGCTATGTTTACATAATTAATTTTAACTGAATTTTGAGAAAGGCACAAAAACAAAAAAAATATATATATATAAAAAAAAAACAAACAACAAAAGACAAAATCTAAAATGTTTACAACTAATAAATCAATTATATGAATAAGACATTACTAAGTACAATACAAATATTATTATAATATAAAAATAGGATCTGCATTTACACTTCTAAGTGACCGGCGGAGGGGTTCGTTCATTAGGTAAGTCGTGGGAGCATGCGTGACTCAGAAAAGCGCAATCGACCAGGGAGTCTATTTTTGAGCTTGGACTAATCATTGACGAATGTTTTAGTACACTAAAACATAAGATGATAATTTTAGTGCACTAATGGAATTTCGTATTTTTGAATTTTATTTTTTATCAGTCTAAATATCTTGCGCTAATCGTACATCGTATAATCTAATGTCATTTCAAACCAATAATTATTAGTGCGATATGTTAAATTATATTAATATATAAATCAGATAAAAATCAAATGAGTTAAACATTTTTTCTAACTTAAAAAGAATTAAGAAAAAATTCAGTGCCACAGGCATGAAGACCCAAGTGTTACCGTCTCAGAAACCGTACGTCTCATTCGTCACTTAATAAAAATGGAAATTTTGCTAGTGCAAATTTTAAAGTTATTTTTCTCGACTTCAAAGAAACAAAAAAAATTTAAATATGTTTAATTTTTTATACTATGACAATTAGATTGATATTATATTTATGAAAATCAGTGTAATCCCCTTATAATAAAATAAAAAACAAAACCAAGAATTTTAACACAAAAATAGCATATTTTTGAATACGTTAGCTATTTTCACCATAAAGACAAAATAAAGTACGAAATTTTTATTTTTAATATTAAAGTATATTATATAAGCTTTAATTTAAGATACATATAAAAGTGTCAGTATTTCCGAAACACTTTCAAAACTTAAGTTGAAAAAGTTCTACTTTCTATATGTATTTTTATGTTTTTTGAACCCCCGTGTAATAAGGGAAATGGTCCGATTTAAAAAAATAGTATGTCAAATAAAAGAAGTATATAAATATTATTTTTATAAAAAAATTGTATTGATCCATACATTTACAAAATGTTATAACATTTTAAAGTTAAAAATGTAAAATATAAAATCGAGAATTTTAGCACAAAAATAGCATTCTGTAGCCATTTTCACCGTGAAGACAAATTAAAGTCCGAAATGTTTTTAGCTTCGATGCGAAACTGAGAAGGTATTAATTTTACTATGATCTGTTTATTTTTTTTTTTTGTGTCTTTTACCACTTTTTCTCAGCTCTCACTGAACGGATTTCTTTCAACGATACGTCAAAAGATCACCAATTGTATCTAGTCGAAGACATTACCCTCAAAAATTGAAAAAATTTCCCTCGTTCACCGTAAATGGGGGAAACCTCCAAAAAAATACAAATTTAAAAATCGCTAATTTTCGACATTTTTTCAATTTATTTTACTAAAAATTGCTATAACTTTTTTAAAAATAACCAAATCAATATAATTTTTTTTATATAGATGCACGATATCATTACCTTTCAGTTGGTATATTTTTTTTTTATATATGACCCTTTACCTACCCACAGGAGGGATTTAAAATGACAACTTTTTCACAAAAAATTAATTTTTTCAACTTGACTTTTGAAAATGTTCGGGAAAGTCTGACACTTTTATATATATCTTAAATTAAAGCTAATGTAATGTACTTTATAATGAAAAAAAAAACATTTCGGACTTTAATTTGTCTTCACGGTGAAAATGGCTACCGAATGCTATTTTTGTGTTAAAATGCTCGATTTTATATTTTACATTTTTAACTTTAAAATGTTATAACTTTTTGAAAAGTGTAAGGATTAACAAAATTTTTTTATGAGAAATAATATTTTTCAATAATCCCTTTTTCATTAAGGATATTAATAAAAAAAATAGCAGATCATGTAGCTTTTGGAATAATCCACCAATTTTTTAAAACTTAACACTATCGAAAGATTTGCATCGAATCGTTTTTTTTTGATAGTGAGTTTAATCACTATCAATTTTAATTTATATTTGTCATTTTTTTGGAGATTTCCCCTATTTACGGGGAACGAGCGAAATTTTTTCAATTTTTGAGGGTAATGTCTTCGACTAGATATGATTTGTGATCTTTTGACCTATCGTTGAAAGAAATCGGTCCTGTGAGAGCTGAGAAAAAGTGGTAACAGACACACACAAAAAAAAAAAAACACATCATAGTAAAATTAATACCTTCTCAGTTTCGCATCAAAGCTAAAATTCAACAATCAACAATTTTAACTATTAGACTCAGTAATATATCTTAAAAACTATAAGAATAACTCAAATGGTAACGAAAAATTAACAGTTAATAATAATAATTTCAATTCAAATTCTCAAATCAATATAAAATATCACAAGAATGACAAGATAATATTATACTATGGGCCCATATTGCCATAACTTTTGGGAAAACTCAATAAAAAACAATTTTACAAAAAAAAAGTTGTTAAGTGTTTAAAAATTATTATACAACTAAATTCTACGGTGATATTGTAACAGATTGGCCGAAATCGTTATCAATTATGATAAGGGTTAAGGTGACCATCGCAGGAATGATAGAAGAGACTTGGTATCATTGTCAATGTCGTATATAATGGCCAATACGGCCTCAACATACATGTATGAAGTATAGACATTAATTATTGTGTTTCAAATCGTTAAAAATCAACATTCTATTCTATTTATATATCTTTCTTTCAATATATTTTATTCATATTTTAGCTTATATAAAATTCTTATATTATGATTTTATAATTAAAATATTTTAAGACATTATTCCTGTGGAACACTGTCTGATTCGTTTTTATCTATTAAATATATTAGTTTATTTATTTATCCAGGTTGTAGTTTCATCAATTTTAACATGTATATTTGTCACTTAAATCACTTTGCTGAAATTGTAACTTTATTACTCAAATTAATTTTTAATATTATGGCTTTTATTTCAGTACAAAACTTAGAACTAATTTTTATTCAAATTACTTTAGTTAACATTTGATAACTATTTTTTAATGGTTACTTGATATTTTTATTAATGTCCATTTTTATTCAAAATATATTTTTATTTATATATGTATACAGGGTGATCAAAATTTGGTAAGACACTCATTTTCTCAGATAATTTTAAATTTGATTATAGAGAAATAATATCAAGTTCAAAAAACTCTACAATAATATTTAGTCAAACCATTATTTTTTCGTCCCTTCAAGGATAAAAACCCNCTACAATAATATGTAGTCAAACCATTATTTTGTTCGTCCCTTCAAGGATAAAAAACCCTATTTATAATTTTCTTAAATGGGAACTCTTATTTTTAACTTTATAATATGATAGAAAAAAAAATTATAAACAATTTTGTTCTTATAATTTATTTTATCCGATTAACCGTTCGTCGGTTACAGCTTGTTAAAGTTAAGTGATTTTAGGCCAAATATCTATTGTCATTTACTGTATTAAATACAGAAGTCATTAATTTTACTTGCTGTTGTATAAACCAAATTTTATTGATCAAGTTATGACAGGTAAATTAGCTATACAAATTTACTACTCACTAAACGTGTAATAACAATAATAGATCCAAACCGGGTTTTCGGTGTATTATTAATAGCTAAGTCTATGGTTTTGTAAGACTAAAGGATTTAACAAAAATACTGGTTGCACTGCCACCGATATTATGAAATGTAATAAACGACAATATTTTTTCTGGAAGTCAAAATATTTAAACAATTATAAAACGTAAACGGTTGTCCGGATAAAAAAAATTATAAGAACAAAATTATTTGTAATTTTTTTTCTATCATATTATCAAATCAAAAATAGTGGTTCCCATTAAAAAAAATTTATAAATAAACATTTTTATCCCTGAAGGGATAAAAAAAAAAAATATTTATCTTTATATTATTGTACAGTTTTAAAAACTTAATAATTTTTTTTTTTATTAAAATTTGAAATTCTCAATAGTTTCTGAGAAAATAAGTGTCTTACCAGATTTCGACCACGTATTTTGTGGTTCGAATAAACTCTTATAATATTAGAATCTTCTAATTTGCGTAGAATACTTAAACATTGAGTAATTAAAAATATTTTTTGCATTTACTTGTATTTCTGGGCTAGCATTTGTGTTCAAAAATATTTGAGCTGATATAAGAAGAATAATGGAAAAACATCTTATTAAGTTCAACAAATGAAATCGACTTGTAAACATTTTTTTAATTATCTAAAAATATTTACATATATTAAAGACTTACAAAAAAAAATTCTGAAAAAATTCTGCTTACTTAAATTATAATTATCAGTTTAGTTTTAAAAAAAATGAAATATTAATTTTATTTTAAAACTCTATAAATTGAACTAATAATATATTACCTTGATTTATGTTATTTGATTATTTTAATAAAAATCGTCTATAGAGCTATTAAATGTTTATATTTTTAGATTATTAAAAAACATATAATGTAAATAAAATATGTTATATGCTTATATTAAATAAAACTGTAAAGAAATAAATTAAAATATTTCTAAAAGTAGCTTAGTATTTTTTAAGTGGGGGATCGGAATCGCTTAAGAAATTAAGGCTTTTTGTACATATATTAATCTTTAGGAAAATAAGATAGAGTAAACGATATTTTCTAAATATTAAAAAAAAAAAAGTTAATATTCTTTAAACTTGAGAATTCCTGTAATAATAAAAACTTATGGCACTCTGTATTTTTAAATACTTCATGCTATGTAAAATAAAGATAATTTTACTTAATTGCTAATTAATATATGCGTTAAAAAATGATATCAATTATAATAATTATGCTATGAAAGAATTAATAAATCAATTTATAGTCCTTGAAAAAAAATATGTCGGCATTTTCTTAAAACAAGCGAAGGTTTTCAATTTAGTATAGTACTAAATAAATGTTTATCACACAAAATAATTGTGACGGTGTGACCAAGTCGGTAACGCGGCAGTGCTTAATGCGCAAAACTCGGTCATGAGCGGTTTCATTTACTGAACGAGAGATCAGTTCGGTAATTGAAGTCACTATCCCACTCTCCGGGGATGGACAACCACCCGTCCCGGAGTATAAATGGTTAAGAAAACCTCCTCTTAGGTGGAGATCGCTATGTCCTTTAATGAACTAATAAAAGCAATAAAAAAAATTTAAAAAAATAAAAATAACAGAAAATAAAGCGTGGTTCATTTTCATTTTGTAAAATATATTATGAGATATTGTTATTAGATCCCTTTAAATTTGTAGATATTCTTAATTAAGCTTTGCATTTTGTTTACTGAAATACTGAGTACATTTATAAAAATATTGATAATTAATATATATCGTAGCATATAACTAATATAACTAAAACTATTTTACAATAATACTCTATAAGTCACACTACCGTGTTGTGACTCAGCTCGAAATTAACTATGAGCTAAATCGTAACATGGCGTGTACATTCCATTAGCTGTGTCCATTCCCCAGCCTGCACCACGTGGAACTGAGGGCTTTGCAAAGGTCAGGGTAATATAATTCACAAACATAAGATACACTAAACAGCTGGACTTAAACAGCACCTCAGGTACTCCTGAACTGAACGGTTAGTTACTATACTATAGAATTTTAAATAATGGAATATAAGTTTAAATTTGAATAAATATTTTAAAATCTAATACCTTAATACAAATTTGCATTAGCATCTAATAATAATTAAGTGCTAATGAAAGTTATAATTATTTAATAACTAATAATAAAAGTATAACATTGCTTTATTTGCAATTAATGTTAATTGTTGTTGGATCAAGAAATTCATGATTATGTCAAACTCCAATGAACAAATTATACTTTAAATGTCGAGATCAAATATACTATAGATTCAGTACCTTAAAACAATAGAGATTAGAAAANTAGAAATCAAATATACTATAGATTCAGTACCATAAAACAATAGATATTAGAAAAACATATCCTATAATATAATATCTTAGTGCCTTAACAATATAACTACAAATACAAATATATATTCAAACTTATACTTAATAATAACCAACTAATTACTATTTAGCATAACAGTTATACAAAAGAAAACTTTACAATCATTAAATTAAAATTTGAATCACAGTATTTTTTGTATTTTCTTTTAACGTAACATAAAATATAAACAAAATTACGTTACGTACACATAAAACGATCTTTGCATAAAAATATTACAAACATTTGAAAAAATCCTGTGAAAAAAAACTACTATGAAGTGGAAGAATGCATAAATGGATTATAATATAGTAATTATTGTCGCTTTTTAGAATAATTTCACTGATTACCTTGTCTTTCAATCTTTTTATGCATTCTACCAATTCACAGTAGTTCGATGATGGATTTTTTTTTATTTGGCCCATTGGAAGTAAATGTACTGTAAATGTAACACATTCTATTTGGTGCATTAATTGGTGACGGACTTTTAATTTTCTTATAACAGCATTGTTAACAGTACATTCCAATTCATGTAGTTTAGTCTCAACACTAAATGGATATTATTGCGATACAACGCTTAGAAATTTTAAATCATTGTTTTTGGTATAATATACTGTTAGGTTTGGTTTTAATTCGTTAAATCACATATCACCGTATACTAACCTTTTTATTCGTTCTTAAGTATTTACACTTCATAATAATAATAATAATTAAATTAAAACTCATGGTTTTCAAATATATGTATACATATACTTTATACATTAATTTTTATTAATTAACACAGTGGTGTAACTGAAAAATAGTCAAAAAGAATTTGATTAATAATAACACAAAAATAACTGAATTCATATGAAATAGTAAAATATTGTACATATACCTATAAATCTAATCAAGATTGATCGGGATTATGAAAATTAAGTCGCATGACTTTTTGTTTTAGCCGTCTCACAATTGCATATAATATCTAGTTATATTCTATTTAAAAACGGGTGTATATTATAGATGTATAAGTAGTAAGTAAATAGCGGATTCAGGGGATCAAAGGATGCCGCCATGGTCATCATCAAAAAGTAATAAATTAAGAGTGTTAATGGGTAATTAAATGGTTAATTAAGGTCAATCGTAATTGTTAAAGTTGTAAATCAAGTGTGTTATTGTTAAAATTGCGATAATAATGTGGGTTGGCGGAGGGTAGGTGGTCAGCTGACTCGGCGTTACGTCGTTGTCGGTGTGACGTATGCAGCAACGCGTGC